GGTGAATAATTCATAACCATTTATCTTCTCAAGAATAATTTGTTTATATAACTCAGGTGCCGAATATACTAAGTTATCTTTAATATATTTTTTAATTTCATCAGTTGGTCATGGATACAAATAAATATGATCTAATGTTACTGATGCTAATTTATTTTATAAATCAACTTTAACAAGAATAGCACCTCTACAATCATAACGGTCCAATCATGACTCTGTGTTGCGTTGTTTAGAACTATCTAAAACTTTTGTTGTTTTTTTTTCTAGCTCTTGACGGCAATTGCACCAATAAGTGAATGTTGTACTTTTTGTTTGTTTATTATAATACTTATGATAAACATAAGAGTATCCGTCACCTTTCTCACAGAGCCTTACAATTTCAGTTGCTATTAAGTTTGTATATGATTCATCAATGTTGTTTTCTAATTTGTCATTGCGATTTGAAAGACTTATAGTTATATTAAGATCCATTTGTACATCTTCTTTTTCAGTATTATCCATAAGTTTGTTATAAACGACTTCTTCAAGATCTTCAGGTTCTATAGAATTCTCTTGCATTTCACGAATATCATCCATGTTCTGCTCTTGAAGTTTTCGTTTTTTTCCTTTATTTATACGGGTTAAGCATTCGATACATGTTTTTTTATTTTTTTCAAATTCATTAATTTGTTTTATTTTTCGACAGGATAGACATTTTTTTGAATTCGGTTGAGTTGAATAATTGCCTTCCATTAATTAAATTTTACGAAGTATTTGGTAAGAAAGAAAATTTTAAACAATCATTTGTTACAGTACTATATCGTAATAAATAGCTATGTAATATACAATTGCATTATTATTTTTCGGAAAATGATTTTAAACAGCGATTACGTAACTGATTTTGGTGGTCATGCTGGGTTCGTGGTCATTGTCATGTAAATGAGTATAAATTACTTATCGTTAGCTATAGATTCCCTGATACCCTAAATAGCTATATTATTTATGATTTTAATCGAGTAGAAAGCCCAATGTTGTTTATAATGTATAAAAATTCATTGATTCCATGTACTAACGGACCCCGAATCCGCACTTTTACAACGTACACAAAATAAATCTAATTCTGTCACATGATTTAATAATAAGCCTGCGAAATTGCGTGAAATTTTTTCGTTAGTGTTTACATGAAATAACGTGAAATTTTTTTGTTAACGTTTACATGTGTTTACATTAGAGACTAATCTGACAAATAAATAATAAATTTAAATCCTGAAGTCTTATTTTCCTCTGAAAACACACTTATGCCTTAAGCCGTTTTCCAGGCAAATTAGCCAGGAAATTTCATGATTGATCAGTGATTAAGCTACCAAGTTATATCGAATTGTAGTCCAACCTGTAGTAGACATGCAGTTAAATGACGATTTAAGGGATAACAATCACTAATTATTATTCTTAAACTATAAAAACACATTGCAAAAATTTGACAGACGCTTTAAATTCTACATCACAAAGTATATTTTTTATAAAACCTATAATGACAAAGATAAAATTTATACAAATATTATTTATATCTACATAAAAATAAAATACTTTAATATTGCTATTTAATTTATTTTCATAATCCAGGCAGATCAGTTTTAGAAGTTATATGTACTTTTTTAAATTAA